CCCCTTCTTTGCTCCCCACAGCCTGCCCCCTTTCCCCCCCTCCCGCTGTCCCCAGGCCCCACCCATGGAAGGACACAGCTTTCTTCTTTTTGGGGAGCCCCTTGGGGCTGGCTTTGCCCAACAGGTCCCGGCCCCTTCTTTGCTCCCCACAGCCTGCCCCCTTTCCCCCCCTCCCGCTGTCCCCAGGCCCCACCCATGGAAGGACACAGCTTTCTTCTTTTTGGGGAGCCCCTTGGGGCTGGCTTTGCCCAACAGGTCCCGGGTGCTCTGGGTTCGGGTCTCTGCCCCAGAGGGGGGGTCCCCAGCCTCGTTGATCTCCTTCGACTGCCAGATGGTTTTCACCACCACGCTGGCCCTGATCCTGGCTGGGCCGGGCCCTGGGGGCTCCTCCAGCAGGGGCCAGGCCCTCGGGCCAGGGGCAGGCTGCTGGTGCCTGGCAGTTCACTAGAGCAAGGGACTAGAGCTCGGTAAAGAGGGTGGCGGAGCTGGTCGTGCGAAGGGCTTTCGCCGTGAGCTGCCCCAGCTGCACCCCGTGACCTCACAAGCGCCACCGCGGCCACAGCCGTCAGGTGACACCCCCGCAAGGTTCCATGAGGTCATCGGGGTTCTTCAAGAGGAAGGGGCCGGCGTGTGTGTCATAGACGCTGCACTGCTCCAAGGGAAGAGCCACTTCTCCTGGGCCAAAAGCGGGAGGGGCCAGAGGGGGAAGAGCCACTTCTCGTGGGCCCAAAGCGGGAGGGGCCAGAGGGGGAGCTCTTTGCCCAAAGACCTGATCTAGCAGTTGGGAACCCCCGGGAGCCTGCGACAACGCTGGGCGCTCTGTGCCCCGGGGCAGGTGTGATCTCCGGGCCCCACGCCCGGCCCGCTCATCTCGGTGCCCCAGCTAGGCACCCAGAACCAGGCCAGCCGGCTGAGGGGCGCTGCGTATCACAGGGCCGGGCCTGGAGTTCCCTCGCTGACACAGGGCCTTCCTACCCTCCCCCCGGTAACACTGCAGCGCATGGGGGGAAACTGAGGCACACCACTCCACCACCGCCCACTTGGGCAGGTGAGCAAATGGCTGCCCTGGGGGGAAGGGCAGGGCAGTGTGGGGAGGAGGAAGGGCTGGCAGGAGCCTGCAGGGCAGCGATTTGGCAAAAGGAGGGAGGCACCTTCCGGGCCAGGCACCGCCCTAGAGCCCAGG